CTGGCAGTATCCCAGCACTCGTGCTTCCTTTGGGTGGCATTGCAGCTAAGCACCAAGAGGGTGTTACAGCTGAACGATTCACTCCTCATATTTTATTATGAAAAGATATAATGCATTCTTCGTCTCGCGTTCAGTGGGCTGACTAATTGTAGTCTTTCGTATTACAGAATGATATGAAATTATAAATATTGCGTAGCACAACTACCAGTCAGCTGAGTACGAAATTAGCTGTATACAAAATCCGTCGTGGCGAAATGATTTCTTCTGACCTTCTTATATTCATCCGCATTCATCCACTATCATGAGGGTGCAATTCTTTCGGTTGGTCGTTTGAGGTTGCCAGCCCAGGGAGGAATTGTTGACAGAAGAAGTCATCTATAGGCTTGAAAAATTGGTGTCGATAATCATTAAAAACCGTTGCTATAAGTGTGTGGCTGAATAAAAAGTTAACTGCCTAAACCTGGGCGCAGCACACTAGTCATAAGACTGCAGACGGCACATGACCGGTTTTAGCCTTCTTGCTGCTCGTCAGGTAGGCACAGTCGCCGGGTTTTCGTGAAACTTGTGTCGTTCAATTGAAGATAATCACTGTACATGAGAAATAGGGTTTGATTTAGTTGGACCTCTAATCAGAACCAAACTGCTTTTTAAAAAAGTGCAGTTGGCGAATTTGGGTTCAAGCAGAATGTAAAGTTGACGAAAACTCGGGGATTGCGCCTACCTGATCAGCCTCAAGAAGAGCGAAGCTGTTCGTGGGCTGCTGTAGAATTTTTAACAACTCTACGAGTGTTATGTTCCGCCCGCGAATTCCTACCTTCCAAGAATTAAGACCAAGGCCGCTTGAGCACCTGGAATGCATCCACAGCTGACCATATCTGGAAGTCACAACTGGACTTTACTGATGCCGCCCATAGATGTCACTTTAAAGTTCATTTGCGGAGGTGTGCGGAGTCATTTTTGATGTTCAGATGCATGGGCAAGAAGGAAGGAAGGCGCTCGCGTTATCTCAGTTAGTAAATCACATGTCCGGTGAGTGAAAGGTGGGTGGTTCTAATCCACTTCTGCACTGTACCTCGACCTGTCTTCCCAGAAACACCCATTCCGTTTGCACCTAGCCCCTATGAGGAATAAGGGTCTCCAAATTTACACAGCTGTGGTGTTTGGGGTATTTAATTGCAAGAATCGGCTGGGTACCTCAGTGGTCAGTCAGTGAATTCTTACATCATCTGTTTGCGGATCAGTAGTATCTCTCTCAAATGAATGACGCTTTAACCCGGCGGATCAGTGTATCTCTCTCAAATGAATGACGCTTTAACCCGTTGTTTAAAAATTGCCTACTTAGTACTTGAAGATATCGCTTTACGTTTCCACTTGAAGAAACGTAGAGTAAAGAAAATAGCTTCCTAGCAATGCT